TGAAAACCAGCAGTAAAAAGACACCTGGGTCGTAAGTGAGACCACGCCTGTCAAAAGACAATTAAGTGGAAGTTTAAGAAATTCAAAGGACAGTTTAAAATGTCACCTGATATTGAATTGGGATGGAAAAGCTTCTTTTCCCCAAATCTCAAACTTTCTTTTTCACACCAGTGTTTCTCTCTCTCCCATCTTCTCTAAAATCAATAAAAACATATCCTCAGGTGAGATGTGGGGGGCAATCATTCCAAAATAAGCAATCCTAAAATATCCATTTGTCAAATAAGAGAAAGCAAGAAAACAAAAGTGCTGGGACACTCTGCTTCATTCAGAGTGTCTACCTTTCTGCTGTGTCTGGGCCTGCACTGTGATGAGGAGTAAACACTAATACATGCATTCAATTCAGCACATATTGATCCACCATCTAAAGAGCACAATAATCCTACTGTCACTTCTGGAACATCTCCTGCTTGTGCTGTAATGAGTTGCCAATAACTCAAATTATCTAGTGAACTAAAGACTTAATGGACTGAATCTCACTGCCAATAAACATACCCACATTAATAAAAAAAAAAAATGGACTGAGGGAAAAATTCATCTTCTGACCATATGGATAAATTTTGAAAAACCGATAATAATAATAATAATAATAATAATAATAAAAAGTATATAAAACTATATTTCTTCTCTACATAAAAATAAAACCATAAGTATGATTAATGCTAAGCTCTTCATTTGAAACCATTTGATGTACTTAAAAGATAAAGCAAATAAGTTCTGTAATGTTATTTTAAACCAAGATTTTCAGTGTATAAGAGAAGAGATACAAATATCAAATCCAATAATATTAACCCTCCATAAAGTTAACTTGGAGAAAACAATATAAACTCCTCATTTAAAATTATATGTATATTTACTACCACATCCCTTGAAAAACAACCAATAAGACTGTGCACCACTAATGCCCATATTGTAGTATCTAAATTCCATTTTCTACTAAAAGAAATCAGAGCTCCTGGAATGGGTGATCTTAGACTTCACATTAAATGAGCAAGAGGAGCTTGGGGCAGCCTGTTGTACCAAGAAGCAGGTCAAAGAAATTAAGGGGACAAGGATGCTTCGGAATATTCTGTATCTTGATCTGGGTACTGATTATATAGGAACTATAAGGTGCACAAAATTCATGCACAGGGGTGGTCCTTCAGCCCAGCCTGCACACTCTTGCAATCTGGGATCCCTTGGGGGATATCGGACTTCCAGTTTAGCCCCAATCCCACCACAAGAGCCAGCAGTCCCTGATTGGGATCCGGCCGAAACTGGCAGTTGGACATTCCCCAAGGGGTCCCGGATTGGAGAGGGTACAGGCTGGGCTGAGGGGATCCCCTCCCCCTGTGCACAAATTTCGTGCACTAGGCCTCTAGTATAAAAATAAAAGTGTTTGTAAGCAAAAAAAGAAAAATATATTTCCCTACTACTTACATATGAAATCCTTGATATTAACAATATTCTCCTTTTTCCACTTAATTACTTCTTCATTTCTACTTTTACTGGATATGTACTTATTTTTCAAATCTAGTTTAAATTTATTTTTCAAGTGTAGCCTAAATTTTCTGAGGTTTAGGTGACTAATTTTTCTAAAATCCTACTCACCAGATTGAGAAAGACAATCCAGTGCACAGTCTTTACCTCTGGATACTTTTTCCTGGTCCCTTATTCCCATTCTTTTCAACTGGGCGAGAAGGAAACTTCAGAGCCTCCTCACTCTTCTTTCCTGGAGAGAAGAGCCAGCTTTGGCCCTTCAGCTGTGAGAACTGGGTTTCTCTTACACAGAAGAGAGACACCTGAGAGACAGTGCAGGAGGGGCGGCCAGAGAGGAAGGCAGGGACAGGTAAAATGGCTTCTGCACTGCTAATTCTCCTTGGATATTCTCTCCTTCTCCACCACCTGGGGAAGATGTCTCACGATCTGCCTCCTTGCCATGCTGGGGTTCCATATTCTTTCTCCTCTTCAGTTTTTGTGGAACCATGTTATACTTGCAGACTAGTGAGATGATTTTCTGAATTTTCCTTTCTCACCACATTTCTATCTGTCTTATGTGTCAACAGTCTCCCAAGCACTCCTGACTTTGGTTCCATTTTTGCCATCCTGTCTAACCTTTCTCAGGAAGTTAAGTGAAGTGGAATGCAAAGCTGATAACAGGCACTCCGAGGAAAAAAGATAAAGAGGCTTTCTGAAAGCATCTCTGAGTATACGTGCAACAAACTAATTCCCACGACGAAATAATAATAATAAAAATAAACACCATTTGTCAAAGAAATGAGATATCAATCACCTGCTTTTTCCTTTTAAAAGAAGAGTTTTAGTTTCTCAAACAGTCAAGTCACCACCAAGCAAATGTGTGGAAACAAATTTCCAGTTACTTTATTTCCATGAACTTAAACCTGATAGTCAAAGGACTCATGTACATTTCATCTTTGCTTGTGGTCAAGTATCAAGGGATCCTAGACACTACTGACCTAAGAGATTCCATGAGATAGGGCAAAGGAATGCAGCCAGAAGGAGAGTCAACTGAAATAATCATCCAGCCCAGCCGGCCTGTTTTCTTGTTTGCTTCGACATTAAAAATGGATATCCTGGGGCCTGAAACCCGCTTAAGTAACAGCCATGACCTGTTTGAAGTTAAATGGGTTGTTGGGATAAGAACTGCTGTTCTGAGATGGAGTCTGTCTTCCCCATTTGTGAACAATGATCAAATAGTAAATGTTTGAATTTAGCTAATGCAGACAGAGAAATGCTTTGCCTCATAAGGACCCCCTCATAATTTGAAATGCTGTCATGACTAATACTCTTGGTTACAAAGTTTGACTAGTACCAAATTGACAGGAACATTACTGTAAGTAGTTCAGTTCCAAATAATATACAGTGATCAAAACGGGAAGGAGAAGATACATCTGATTCTGATGGAGAGACTTCTCAATGTCAAAAGTCTGCATATGTAAATGGCACAGTGTATTGCCAGAATGAGCCCAGAATGAGTAAAGGATTAGGAAATTGACTCAAAATCCCTGCAAGTGTAATTCACAAAGAAGCCAACTCAATAAATCTTCCTCACCTTGCCAGGACTAAAATAATCACGTCAGGCAATGGAAGCATTAGTCATGACATTTCAGACTCTGAGATGACAACCTCAAGGTCTGGAAAGAATGATTCATACTCTGTTACTATCAAACCAGATTTCCCAACTAAGAACAATGGGCCATCTGATTTTGGAATAGTCCACCTTCTTCATGGGCAAATCTGGCAGGTGTCAGCTTAACTTCAGAAAGCCAGCAATCTCAAAGTATATCCATTTCACATAAAATAATAAAATACCAAAAGAGAATAAAGACCAACAGCATTATGTGTGAAGTGACTTCACTTTAAGAGAGAAGAAATTGATGCTTAAAGCAGGAATCATTTTGTTGTTGACAATATTACAGATAGGGACATTTTCTGGATGCCCAACTTATATGCCAATTCATTCTAAGAGGGGCCAAGAATCTCTTCCAGAAATATACTTAACCCTCCAATTCAATATAAACCTGCTTTTCTCTCCCTTTGTCCTCTCCACCTGAAAGCAGGAATCCTGACCACAAAAGCCTACAGATGCCAGGGCAGTAACATAAATCTGTAAGGCTGGTTGGGTTAGATACTTAAGGAATGCAAACTTCAATTGTGACCAGATGTTTAATTTTCCAAAAGAAGCCAGGTATCTGACTTTATGTGAAGTTTCCATACAGTTCAGCAATGTTGGCAACTAATTCAATTTTCAAAAAGAAAATGTTTACATGTTTAAAAAAAATTATAGTCTAAAATTTACCCTATGGACCACTAATTTGCAAGCTCTGCTCTAAATGTAATTTTAAATAATGCTGTAGTAAACAGAAAGCTTCTCAAATAATAATAATTATACTTAATCATTGAGCCTCGGTTTCTGCCCTTCCATGAGGGAACAGTTCTTGCAAGGGGAGGGTAGGAGTGGGGGGATACCTGGGGAGCATTTCCCAAATGACAGACGTGTGAACTGTCTCCACCACTACCATTAGCCCTGTATCCCAGGCAAATAATAATTTGAGTAGAGAATACATAGCTTCCAAAAGCTCCTCAAGAGCTGGGTGACACACGCTCCTGGAAAGCTTTGTATAACTGGGAGGGATGCATCCAAATTGTAGATTCTGAAGTCACTGAGCCTAAGATGTTAAATAGCATATACGATGTGGCTCTGAAAATAGTAACTGCAAATATCAGAGGAGCCTAGAGTACCCATAGTAAGTAGTGCTGGTACCAAATTAGTTATTTCAGTCTCATGGGCAAAAAGAAAACAAGCAACTGCCTACCTGTTCACTGTGGAAGATTATAAAAACAGATGCATTAAAAAAAAAAAAAAAAGGAATGAGTATATGCATGATGTGGGCTTGTGTGCTTCTATGTATATAACTAAAGCATTCTTAGGTGTGTAGGTTCATTACTCAAGAAGGGGAGGAGAGTGTCTTACTTCCACATGCAGGTAGGAAAAGGTTAACCTATCTTATGGTGTGTGTTTTTTTGTTTGTTTGTTTGTTTGTTTTTCACAGAGTGGAAGAGAGAGGGATAGAGTTAGAAACATCAATGAGAGAGAAACATTGATCAGCTGCCTCCTACACACCCCCTACTGGGGATGTGCTCGCAACATCCCTTGCCCTTGACCGGAATCGAACCTGGGACCCTTCAGTACACAGGCCAATGCTCTATCCACTCAGCCAAATCAGTTAGGCCCCTTTGGTGTGTTTTTCTACTTCCTATCCTTAAAAAAATTACAGCAGATTTTTTTTTTAATAAGATGGCTAAGCATAGCCAGGATTACTATGTTTTTTAGTTTTTATATACCTGTGATTAGGTAATGTTTTGCCAATCTCTTGCTGTTAGTAAACAATGCCTCATCTAAGCCTTGCTTTTGATTTTAAGCTGGCACCCTCCTAACTCACCTTGTAAATGGGATCCGTCTTCTAGGTTGGCTTTCAGGTCAAAGCTGCTGGAAGTGGCTTATCCTCAGATGCCTGCAGCCTTTTCCTGGGAACTCTATTGACCCTGCTGGGCTTATCTGGTAAAATTACAGGAGTGGCTCCTTCATTTCCTTCTCTTATTGTATTGCAGAGAGGGGCAGAAGCTAAAAAGAAAAGAAAACAGTCATGTAGTGCATCTCCACAGAACTTTCCCCGAATCTCTCAGGGGGACTGCCCATGGCCAGTCAGAAACTGCCTTCCAATTTATCTCCTGAGGAGGAAGTCCATGAGGGAGGGCATCTCAGCTTGTTGCCTCCTTTGCTCAATCTTATGTGATTTCAAAGACATATCCATTGCATGCCTCAGCAATAAGCAGCATACATCATTTACATCTGACTCAGAGTTTGGAGTAAGAAAATGCTCAATTTATATGCCACTACATTCTAAGAGAGGCCAAGAATCTCTTCCAGAAATATACTTAATCCTGCAATTCAATATGAACCTGTTTTTAAAAACAAGAAGTATGACGTGGTTTCATCGCACATCACAACCGTGTTCAATACCAGGGCCTTGATAAAGACTCACTAATAGCCTCTAATGAGTCCTGACAGAGTAGAACTGTCACCAGACTCCTAGAACAGTCCTGTCACAGAAAGCTAATTATACTATCAAAGAACAGCTTTTCACACTTCACACAGTTTCTCAGAAGGCAAGGGAACAATATTTTATGCGAAGATCAAATATGTTCACTTCAAGGTAAAAAGAAGGGTGGGAAGAGATCAACCAAAGTCCTTGTATGCTTATATGCATGACCCATGGACACAGACAATAGGGAGATGAAGGCCTGGGGTGGTGGCTGGGGTGGGTAGGATGGGACAATGGGGGGATAAGGACACATATGTAATACTTTCAACAATAAAGGTGTTTTTTGTTTTTTTTTAAAGGAGAAGGAGAAAAGCCTGACAAGCAATGCAGATGGAAGTTAGCTCAGTTACTCCCCGGTCCTGAAATGTGACGGCAGTTTTTCCCTCGAGCCTCTCTAGCAGGTGCATTTCTTCACAAGGCAGCTTTCAAAATTACAACCTGGGCCTGATTACTTTTCAAGCCTGCTCTTTCACCGTCTGACTTTTCCTCTTTTTACTTATAGAGAAGGAAAAAGTAACTATACACACATATATCCTGAAAGATTATGACTCAATAAAAGTGCAAAAGATTTATGTCTACCCAACACCCTATGCTGGGAATGTTCTTTTAAGCACTATTTTTCTGCCAAAAAAGAAAGAAAATGTTTGTTCTAAACCCCCTCCACCTCTTAAAAAAAAATTTTTTTTTTTTATCTCTACTATGTTGTAAGACAAGTCCATGTGTCTTGTAGGCCCTAAATAAAATTTAACTGGTGGCTATGATGATGACATAGAAGAACTAAGGTTAGGGTCCATCAAGATTATGTTTGTATGCTCAGCATTAGATCTGTTTATTTTCTGCAAACACTACTCAATCTATGCTCTTTAATCCCGTATAATTACAGACAGAACAAACATGAGTGGTCAACTACTGAAACTCCCCTATCCACTTTTTTCCTTGCTCTTTCCTATAATGTGTTCTGCCAAATTTTGGAAAAGGAGAGAATATTAAACAAGAAAAGAAAAGAAAAATTATGTAAACAGCGCCCCTGTGCTAAGATGCATTTTGTTTATCCTACCTCCACCCCATTCCCCTATCCTAGTCTTATTCTCCATAACTTCTTACCATTGTACATTGACAAGTGAGAAGGTAAAGAGAATAGAAAACCACGGGGTAAGATCAAGGCTACCTACCTTTCCACCTCTGTTTCCCCCAGTCCAGCAGCAGAGCAGAGGGAGAAGGCAGGGTGAGTACTGGTACGGCTAGCCATACCTAAGGAATTCCCCTTCTTCCCCATCACACACTCTGTGTGTCCCATCTCCAGCCTCAGTAAGCCAGACATTGGCCCAGGAAGCAGTTCCCCACTTCAGTCATCCTCTCCTTGTAGTCTTTGCCTACAGACCCCTCAAAATCCAGCTCAACTCCACAACTCTCAGCTCCTCCCTTGATCTTCCCAGCTCCATAGGGGCATCTTCTCATGGCATCTGGCACTTTGGTCAATTCTACTGATGCAAGGTGGTCCTGGTTGTATGCGTTGCTTACACTTCTCATCTCCCCTACCAGATTGTGGACACTGGGAAGCAGACCTTACTTCCCTGCACAGGGTAAGTGTGAGAGTTAAAATGTGAAATTTACAAGGCTTTTATTTATGCCCACTTCACAAGAAATGGATCTATTATTATCCATTTTTGCCAGAAGTGTGTATTTTCACACAGTGTGTATGCAATGCCAAGGAATAAGGAAGTGCTTTGGCTTGTTCCGAGACTATAATTAACATTCATATGGACCTTCTGTGCAACTTTCAAAAAGACAACCATGATAAAGTGGAGTGCCTTCCATACCCTTCAGGGAGGCTGACTACTCTGTATAAAAAATTACCACTCCATCAATATATGGTTCAGATATAATCAATCATCCCTGATAGCTACTGAAGGCAGAAATATTAGTATTTGTTCTCATTCAGCTTGAACCACTTGAATAGAGCAGAAAGATTTATATCATCACATTCAAATTCCCAATTTCCAAGTGACTAATATATTGTTTTATTTAAAAACCAGAACATTTACCAAGTGGCAACTAACCTTTATTTCAACTAAGAAACTGTACAGGGTCTTGCTTTACCGTGCACATAAACTGCGTGTGGGCAGAAGTCCAAAGGTACTAAGCTAATAAAGTTCAAGTTTGATTACACGTTGTGACAACACACACTGAAGATAAATTCTTAAAGGTCTCACTAAGAACTAAACTCAGAGAAGGGGAGAGGTTGTTTTCTTTTAAAACTACAGCCAACGTTGATATTTAAACAAAAATTATACCTGGCTTTTATCAACACATAAAAAGAATCATGTTCTAATTTAACAATACCTTTTACAGATCAAAAAGGCCCCCTGCATCCTCCTTCTTAGCTATTAATAGGCTGAAAGTTGGAAAGGTTGACTTGAACAAAGTCTTCTATGCCAGCAAGCACTTTGATAGGAATATCTGCAAAATCTCATTGGGGAGTTTAGAGATCTGGCAAGGAAGGGCTCCTTCTGAATGGCTCATTCAGGAAGCAATGATCCATTATCTTTGCAACAGACTTCTTCCTGTAAGTCCTGTGACTCATCCTCCCACAGCCTGAATTTTGCCCATTCTGCACCAGATTCTTGTCCAGCATACTCCCCACACATTCCACTCATTTCTTATTCAAGCCCCTCTGAACACATGATGTATGTGTCCTGTGCAGCTACTAAGTTAATGCATAGAATATAAAAGAAAAACAGGGTAAAACAAACTTCACCATTCTGTAAAATACTAAAGAAAGATTCTTAAAATGGTGAAGTCAGTAAAGACAACCAGGATAACCAGAGACTAGTGTAACAAAGTTGGCAGTGTACATAAGCAACGTCCATTTCCCAATACAAACAAGAGACCAGACACTTTTGGCTCTTTTCTATTCGTTATATGGCCCATGACTTGGATTCAATGCTTACTTTATTTCCACGAAGGATTGGTCTTAATTTAGGGTAAAACATCCTAAATTGCTTTCCCAGAAAACTATAACACATGCTATAAGACATGCTATAAGACCCTTCTTCATCATCTTGTTTACTTTGCCTATATATCCACTAAATACCTTGGTGAAAAGATGATTATTTTTTGCTCTTTTTCATGGGCAGCAATGCTTAAACAAATAATTGCTTTTTCTCTTCCTACCTGTGATATTGCCAAATACTCTGGGAGTGTCTACAGGGTCTAAATTGTTAGAGAATAGTTTTCGTGCTATAGTTTTTGTGTTTCCAACAAGTTTATGGAAACAGGTTATGCTGGGGTGACTTCCTGAAGATGAAAAACACAAACTGCAGGCACTTTCACCTGGCAACAACTGTGCCTTTCTTGTCAATAATTGGAGAGCAGACTTTTAAAAAAATATATATATATATATATATATATATATATATATTATTGATTTTCCACAGAGAGGAAGGAAGAGGATAGAGAGCTAGAAACATCTATGAGTGAGAAACATCGACCAGCTGTCTCCTGCACACCCCCTGACGGGATGTGCCCACAACCAATGTACATGCCCTTGATCGGAATCGAACCCAGGACCTTTCAGTCCGCAGACCAACACTCTATCCACTGAGCCAAACCGGTTTTGGTTGAAGAGCAGACTTTTAACTTGGAAATTTATCTAATCTCTTAGTGCTACCATACATCAAACAAGTTAACATTCACTAGGTAAAATAACATAGAGTTTTTGTATCTGCCATTAAGTATTGATTGATTTGTCCACTCCACAATAAGTCAGCTGTTATATACAAACATTAAACCAGACACTAAGAAAGACATAGAGATGTAACAATCAACAAAAACAAAGGTCTTCCTTTTGTTTTTGTTGATTGTTACATTTAGAATTTAGCCACAGATAATAATATAAATACACAAATAACCATTTTAAGCTACAAAAGCAGAAAACATGCTATGGATGTTCATGACATGAAAATATTAATTCTAGCTTAAAATCTGTGAATTGGGTAGGAAGCAGATCAGAGAAAGTTGCTGAAAAGAGTAGGCATTTGATATCTGAGTAGATTCAAGCAAATACTAGAAAAGCAGAAATGGATGGAGGAGATTTCAAACAGTGAGGAAAAAATATATGAAAATCAAGAGATAGGAAAGTTAAATAAACAGGCATGCGGCCCACTGGCCACAAGTTCAACATGCTTGGTGTAGACGGCAGTGACAGTATCCAGGGTCTAGGGTACAAAAAAAAAACACAAACAAACAAACAAACAAAAAAGAAAGTGGGGGAAAGAAAGGCAGAGATGAGGTTTGGAAAAGTATGGAAGACCTTACAGGCTGGTGAGAGACCAAATTTCATTGGCTGGGCTGTAAAGTCATGTGGTTGTGTTTCAGGAAGGCAGATCTAGGAGAACAAATTGGAAGGAAAAGAACCCAGAGGCAAGAGAGGACCTCAGAAGACAGAAGCAGCTCAAAACGGAGGGCAGAGCAGGTACCTAGGAGAGGGGGCACCCGTGAGGGGCAACTGAGGATCTTC